ACATTATCTAGCTGAGATCAGCTGAGGCACACCAGCTAACTGCATTTGAACACAGGGAGCCTGAGTGTGCTGGAGAGAGAACTCTCCTCCATTGAATTCACCTTGACAGAGGTTGGCCTGAACCAAGCCACATTTTTCTGGCATGCTGCAATGCTGGTCCATTCAGCCAGCCCTTTTGAGGAAGGTGGTTTGAATTTCACTGGTGGGTTGGGTTCTTTTTGAATTGACTCATCTTTCTGATTGCTTCCATTTACACATGAACATAGATGCCCTCAGAGGGTCACTTCAGTAAGTTGAACAATAAATGAAGCAGATACTGCGCTACACTGCTAAAGAAAATGGTAGACAAAGAGGGCGATCCTGCAGGTACATTGTGTCTGAGTCTAGAAAGGGAAAAGCCAACTTTTAATAATCCTGCCCGGCCTGCAGTTGGCTATGAATGAAGTAAGACTATGAAAGAAGTAAGACTTATCACTTGATACTTCCATCTCAAAGCAGTTTACAAAGGTGATTAGATATTATTTATATTATCATAGTGCCGAGGCACCCCAGCCATGGACCAGGCCCATATTGTGCTAAGAGCTGTACAAACACAGAGCAAAAAACACCATTCCCTGCCCCCAAAGAACTTACACTCTACGAAATTAATTCTTTTTTTGTTTGTTTTCAGATGGGGAATACTAAGGCACAGAAGAGTGCAGTGACTTGCCCAAGGTCCCAAAGCAAATAGCCTCTGGTCTATCATTGTGTATATAGCAAGGAGCGGAATTCCGATCTCCTGACTTTCAGTCTAGTACCCTGCTCATTGAACCACACAGCACGCTGAAAGGGAAACCGCCCCCTAGTACTAGTGTTCAAGAAAAAGAAGAAAATAAGACGGTAAAAAAAGAACATTTACCATAAAAATAACTTAACACGATACTGCCTAAGAGAGCCAGTGCTGGGCATGTGTGAAGGGGAGGAGGAGGAGGAAAGCTGTGTACCAGCTAAATATAGGTAGCCAAGAAACGGGAGCAAGAGCCAGTCTGCAGAATACTTGCTGTGCTAAGAGGTGCTAGGTAAGGAGGGATTCAAGCATTTTACATCTCTGAAAGGAAACTCTTCTTGAAGCTGAACTTTTAGGGCCTGGACTATTTCACACCCAAAGGAAAAGAGCAGAGAGGTAGCACATGGGAATGAAAGGTAAGACCCAGGATAGTAGTCTCTCAGGATGCATAGAACCCATGGGAAAATACATGCTATGGGTTTGGGGATAGTAATATTACAGGGGAAAATCCATTGCACCATTTGCCTTTCCAACTTTTCATGCACTTCTCCTTCAGCCCCATTTCTGACTCCCTGCCTTCCCACTGGTTGTCACAGGATCATTGTAACCTCTCTCTGGGTGGGAGAATCCTGCATTCCAACCTTGAGGGCAGTGATAATTCAGGGGTGTCCGCCCATTTCTCTGGACAGCTCACTTATGCAGCACCTTACATGTTTCACAGATTGTTAATTGGAGCAAAGAGTTCTGATCTTGGGCTGCTTTGGTGGAGACTGAGAATGAGTCACAGCATTGGAGTTACATTGGGACAGAGAGCGTAAGAAGCCTCAGACACTAAAAACAAACCTGCCTGCAGCTCAGACTGAAATCTGGGACATTTAAACAAGTGGGGCATGTTCTCAGTCTCCAGGGCTTCCCAGTGCGGTGGTGTTTCCACTCAGAACAAATCTAAGCAAGTCTGTGAAAGGTGGAACCCAGTTGAAGATTGCCTCTTTCAGATTAAACAACAGACTCAGCTCACCTAGCTTGTCACAAAGTGGTAATTTGTGTCTTTGCGTTCTTTTACCTGAATGAGGTGATAACACACCATTAATTTTATGGAGCTGTATGTTGCTATGAATTCACATGTTAAAGGCACCTGTGCCTCAATTCCCCTTCTGTCAAACAAGGATAAAATAGTGTTTCCCTAGCTCACAGGGAGGTTGTGAGGATAAATACATTGAAGGTTGTGAGGCACTTGCTATACAGTAATGGGCACTTGTGAGAAATCCCCTGTGGAAGGCTGCCTTGAGCATCACTTTGTACTCGCTACACAAGCCTACAGGTTACACTCAGGAGATGCAGGTGGATTTTTTTGCAGTTAAGACACAGGGCTTTTTACTGTGTAGAAGTCACTCTTACAGGGGTTCTGGAACAATTTGTATAGTGGGGGTGCTGACAGCTATTGAACCAAACTGTAAACCCTGTATATGGTGGAAACCACTTCAAACCAGAGGGTGCAGCAGCACCCCCAACACCAATTCATTCTTACTACCTATTACACAACCCAAAACCAAGCTAAAAAACCTCCACCTCTGGGCCGGATCCCTCCACAGTTTGCGTCTTCTAGTCCCACCTGGCACAAAGCCCAGTTACAGGCTTAAATTTTCCAAGAGCCCCAGGGGATTTGTATGCCCAAGTCCCATTATAATTAATGAAGGCCTTCAAAACCCTCAGAGACTTTGAAAATCTCACCCATGCAACATCCATAGGCTGGAATGCATTTTTAGCAGCCAATGATTGCATTCCATCCCTCTGAGTTCTCATTGGCTACTACAGCTAGTGATGGTGTAAAGTGACAAATCAATAGTTGCTATTTTGGGGCATTATACTATTTTACTCTTTGAGCAGCTGATCTGGCATCTCTGGTTCCATCACAATGATTGCGTTGCTCCAAATTAAGCTACGGACAATACCTGGGACATTCAGCATAGCTAGTCTTTTGTTACGCCAGTCTTGAGGAGTCTAAATGAATTCCCACTGTTATTAAAGTATTTCAGCGAAGAGTCGTGCTGCCCCCACAGCTAGGGGTCTGTCAAACATGAGTGCACAGCTAAGGGATGCTTAGCCTTTCACCTCTACTTCATTATAGTGGGAGAACAAATTAAACAGCAAATAGTATCAGCCTTAACAGCTGACTTTTCAAAACAATCCGAGGCAGCATGTGGATTTCAGAGAATTAGAAAACTGCTGTGCCTTCCTGGGGACCCAGATCAGTGGTCCAAATGTGAGGTCACTTGAACAACGGGTTCCTAAGATATAGTCCCCTCAACCCCCCAAACAGCCAGACAATTTTTTTTTTTAAGCATATCCTGAAGTTCAAACTATGGTCCTCATCCTCCCCAAACTGTTATCACCTGCTTGGGCTTGATCTCAGCTAGTCTTTGGGCAAGCAATACTCAACACGTTAGGCAGGGGGTAAAATGAGGTTCAAGCCAAGCCAACAAGCCAGAGAACGTAATTTGCACTTGTGCAGCAGGACTGGGACTCTGTTGCAAGACAGTTTACAGGCAGCCTGACAGTAAGCGGGTGGCTCAAGGTGCTCCACCGTTGTCGCTGAACCTGATGAGCAGCACCCACATACTGAGTCTGAGTCCTGCACCCGGCAGTTTTCTTAGAACCTGTGTTGTGTGCAGTAGTTTCTCTCTGCCTGCATTCTGCGGAGGCTTCTTCTGGAAATTCTGCCCTAAGAGCAAAGCTTCTGATTTAAGAGCTGATATTCCAAAGTGCTCTAAAATACACATGCATGCTTATTTGTTCCTTCAGGAGCATGGTCAAGGAAAACAGTAAAGAGAAGGAAGACTCTAATAAGCAGCAACATTAGGGTAATGTAATTATGCAGCAGGCTCCTCACCCTCATCAACGGGATTGTGTGAACAAAAGAGCAAGTGGCTGTGACTCTCAATGCCAGCATCATCAAAAGAGTTTCTGAGCATCAAGAAAAGCACCCCCATAGAAAGTTTTCTATTCTAAGGATTGGTTTAAGGTCATTATTGGCTAACATGGCAGGAGGATACTGTCAGTCAAGACATCAATTTGTATAGCTGAAATTTATTTGGCAAGCTATCTACACCTACCAAAGGTCACAACATTCAGCCCCCTATGTGCTGTACTACTTGTGAAAAGGGGGGTCTGAAGGAAATGTCAGACATTAGAAAATTTTTAGTCACATCCCCTCTTTAAAGCGGTCACAGCAAACCTTGATTGCTATTTCCTCCCACAGATGGCTATAGGGGAAGAAAACAAAACAAAACCCCAAGCCGTACACAAACTACAATAAACTTTAAGTGATCTAAGTTACTCAAGACAATTTTGGCCAACGTTTTCCTCCCCCTTACAGTGGAAATCCTGGTGTAACCTTAACTGTGGTGGCACCACCATGCCACCATAATATTGCTGTGCTACATTAGGGCTGTGGTAGAATTCATGGTGCAAGTTGGGGTTGTTTGGTCCAGGGATTGCTCAGATACAGGACTCCCCTCCCCAGTGAACTGCTGACTTCAGATCTACTTGCACAGAAGACTAGTGGGCCAGAGAAAGGGCTGGGGTAGAGCTTGTGGTGCAAAGGTGGGGTCATTTGATCAAGGGGTTCCCAATGTCAAAGTCCATATATTATGAGCTTTTAACTTTCTGATTGCTCTAAAACCCATAGGCACAGCAAGATGGTCTTAAACCGGTATTCCACAACAGGGGCAGACTCTGGGAGAGGAGGGGAGGAGAACCAGTCAGGTCACATCTCTCGGGCCTATTGTCTCAAAACTATCGGTAGGTCAAGGGGCCACTCTGACCTGCACCTCTCCTCTGCCAGATCCTAGGTATAGTTAAGGATCTGGCAAGCCCATCAGATTGTAAGGTCTTTAGGCCAGGGATATCTTCAGACTTCAACTGCAATTAGCACAAGTGGCCCCACTCCTAAAGGGGACAGTGATTAAAACAAATGATTAATAAAAGCCAATTATGGCTGTGGATTCAAAACATTACTTATTTCGAGGGTGGGAGGAGGAAACAAAAATCGATGGTCAAACCAACAAGGATTAGAGCCAGTGCATCCGCCCAGCTTTCTGTTTTCTAATACCAATGAAGTGTGCTGGTTTTCTTACAAACCACTCATATTGTAATGGGCAAGAGAGACCCCTGCTGGACTGCTACATTATAAATCCTGCTGATAGAATAAATCGTTTAATAAAACAGCACCATAAAAAAGTAAAAAATCTTCTTTTATTTGAAGAATTCTAAAAAACATATTCTGTAATACAACTCTCAAATTCCAAGAGGTTGATCATGTTTTTCATCTGAAATATTTATCTTCTGTATTCATCCTCTTGCTCGATTCCCTCATAGAATGGATGCATAGTCCCATATTCTGTGCAGGCAACATCAGACATGGAGCTGCCGAAAGCTTCCATGTTACAGTGTTATGACAAGGCCAGCTGCTGCTCTAGAGACAGAGAATAGCTCCCACTCCTGATTGTTCAAGAGAAACTTGCTACCCAAGGTGCTAAATGCTCTGAGCTAGGCTCCAGCCTGCAGTCCATGGTGAGTTTACTGTGCAGGGTAGCAACTATTCCCTTGCTTGGCATGCAGTCACTTTAACCCTGGGTGTGTGGTCAAAGTCTCTCTGCTATGCCAGGTCACAGGGATTGCCTACACTAGCCGCCAGTACTTTGGTGGGTGCTAGAGCTTCAGTTGTCCGTGGAGCCTGTTTTGGAAGGCGAATGGGGACATAGACATTTGAAGCACAGTGCTCCTTGAGGTATTCGCCACCTTTTTCTTCATAATCTTTTCTGGTTATCCAGCCTTCTTCATGGTTCACATATTCCAGTGCCCAATCCCTAGCTCCATACCAAGCATCCAGAATGGGATTGGAAGCAAGGTGAACCTACACAGCAGAAAGCACAAAGAAGAGGTCTGTCAATGTAGGTGAACCCTGAAAACAAGAGAGACTCTGGGAGAGAGTAGCCCCTTAACTTACTTCACAAAAATCAAGTCTACATACTGCAATATTCCATACATTACGTTTAAGAGTTTGAGCCAATCCCACTCAATGCCCTGGAAGTCATGGGGGTCAAAGTATTGTTCTTTGGCTCGTGAAGACAAATCCCCAGTGGGTTTGGTGGACCTCTGTATTATGTACATCAAAAATCCCACCACAGGGTTCAGAACAAGTGGAAGCCCAAGGTTAGAATAGTAGTGGTGGGGTAGCACAGGTTAAGTGCATTGGCAGAATGGTCTGGCAACCTAGGACTAGAACAGCAGAGAGGAACTGCAGATTAACAGTAAGGAGTGCTGTACTGGAGAAGTTTGCACTGTATCACATTCCACTGACATTGCCCTTTTCTAGGAGATTCCCAGCACCACCACTGATTCAAGAGATATCAATGTTAAAATGAAGACTTTATGGCAGGGGCTTCTACAGTGTGGACCACATCTTACTGGGAAGATCATCGTGTTGACACCTCCCTTCCCATATATGATCACATAACATCAGTGCGGCAACTACAATAATTGCTTAATAAGGAAGTCCTTATAGGGTGCTTAGTTTTTTACTTGGAGGTTTTTTGTTTTGTTTTTTTGAGTCAGCACCAGGAAACCAGAAAAGCCAGCACAATGTAACCAGTCAGCTTTCCAGAACACAGTTTAAGAACTGCCAACTTATTCTACCTGACTTACTGGCTACAGTGATCCTGCATTTAATATGATCAAATAGCTGGGAACCTACTTGATTGTGTTCCAAGCACTTAACTCTCACTCCCTGAAAGCCAACATCCAGCTGTATGGTGCTACAGTGCAGCTGGGAATAGCAATGCAAGCACGTTGGATGTAGTGCACTAACAGGGAGTGTCACCTCATGGGGGGCTGGGTAGGCCAGATGGGAAGGCAGGTTGCTGGGTAGAAAAAAAGAGAAAGGAAGAGACTATATCAAGAGATCAAAGAGTAAGGAAGTAGGGACACCAAAAGCTGACACTATGTTGCTGTGAGGAAGCTAGCAGCCCCAAATTCACCTTCAACTGTGTACAGCAGAACTACACGGAGCACAGCAGCAAATAAGGGGATTACGTGATTAGAAGAAAGCCACCCAAAGGTGGTTAATATACAGAAAAATAGTGAGTGGCATTCAACAGTAACCCTTATTACAACTGCCAAAAACATGGCTGCATCCATGTTTCTGCACTGGTCAGTGATATGAAGGCCAGTGCTATGTAAAGTCATCAAATTGCAAAGCAACAGCTATTAAACTAATAGACTATGATTACATCAGTCATTTTATACTGTCTATAGGCCAGTCTGCTATTTAAAAAGTAAAGGCAGGTTGTGGGAAAAGCTATGGGAAAAGTTGTTTTGAGATGGGTAGGAAGAACCTTGCAAGTGTCATTACAAAAACATACAGGAGACTTGGATTTCATCTCACACTTCTCCTACGCATGCCTTACTGATTTTTTAATGGAATACACTGTGAGCTTGTGCATTTTCACGGACAATACCGCACCTGAAAAGAAGACTGGAATGGCCTCATTTCAAGTAGCTCCTTCTGGATTCTGGCTTTCAGTCCAGGATACATTGTATTTCCACCAGTGAGAAAGACATTCTGGACAAGTAAAGCCTGTTGCTCCTTTGGATACCTGCAGGAAGAAAACCAATGCTTCAACTTTGGGAGCATCTCACTGCAATGAGTGAATAGCTATGGAGAAGAATACTGCCGCCTCAACATCAAGCGAGATTTCTTTGGACATAAGCAGACAGTCCTTGCTTCATGAATACCACACCTGGTGCTCATATTTGTTTTCCTGTAGACAGCCAGAAGTTCGCTGAGGTGGCAGACGAAGTCATTAAAACAGTTCCTGTGCTGGCTCCCACGTTATAATCAGAATCCTACGTTACCAGAATTCTGTTTATAGTGATTTCAATCCACAGTCCTTTATGTAGGGCTAGAGCTTTTCTCATATTAGATTATTTTTCTGGTCCTACATTTGTGGGGTGACTCAATGCTGATAAAAATAAATGAATTAGGGCTCTGGGTAGGGTTGGGCATCTAGTTAGTGTCCCTCTACACCAGTGGTTCCCAAACTTGTTCCGC